TGATTTAGCTGTATAAAGCGCTTTGAGTGCTCGGACAGAGTAGAAAAGCGCTATATAAGAACCAGTCCATTTACCAAAACCTTTTTTTTTTTAACTTAGTGTCTCCCCATTTTCCACTGGAGTGGCTCTGCTTGACAGATGGGCCATAAATGTACTCAATAGAAATACCTTTTTCTGTAGTTTGGCCACAAGAGATGGCTGAACTGGCTAAATAAGCTAAAGAAGCTCTAAATTCTACACAATCTTCTACTTAATAAATCGACTCAGTCCAGTTGTATCCTTTTACTTGCTGGAATCGACTTTCTAAATTTCCAGTTAACACAAGGTAAAAATAGTTGCACCCTTCAAGGCGTGTTTGTGTGTGTGGGGCTCTGCACACAGAAGCTGTAGTGTGTGTTTACTCTGTAAATTCCAGAGGAGGCAGGTGGACAGGGCCGATGGCAAGCACGATGTTTTTTTCCCAGGCGTATCAGGTAGCAGTTCACTTTCTGAAGCCCGGTGCCAAGGTGAGGTAGCTGGGTTGGCACTGGCACCGCCTCTGTTGATCCAGATATAATTAAAAAGTGATAAGTGGCCTGGTTACCATCCCTTCCCGTTTTCCTCCTCCACCTGCAAAGGGTATTACGGCTACAATAGGAGGTGAAGTAGCTGTAAAGCCTCCACCTGTTTGCTCTGAATCACTGACTTGGCTGATCCCACATTCAGATAGAAATGGCTCGACGAGGAGCTCGGAGTGCTTCCGTGGGAAACAACAGACCACGCACTTCTCTTTCTGAGGAGACAGAAAGGCGACGATAAAGAAGCGATAATGGCGTAACGATAGACGCTGGTTCTATGTGTCATTACCGTAAAAAGCATTATAGACTCAGACTTTTGACCACGTGCTTTTTGAGTGAAACAAAAAGGACTTTTAGAAACTGAAGTGCATGATTTTGCCCCTCAGGAGAGAACAATATCCTGCAGATCATGGTGAAGGTGGTGAAAGGGGTGCGTCCAGACCTGGGAGCGGTGCCACGATGTCGACCTTCAGCCTGCACAGGCTTCCTGACCCTCATGCAGCGATGCTGGGCCACAAAGCCCGAAGCCAGACCCAGCTTCCAGGGTAGGTTGTGCCTCTACCTGCTAACCCTCGTTAGCACTATAGGAACGAGCTTGTCCCTTGAACTGCACGCTCTGTTCCCTCACTGGCTGTGTGAAAGGCAGCGCTATGGCGCTCTTCTTCCTTTTTGTATTGCATAATCCCATCCCTGCTGTTAACGCAACCTGACCTTGAGACGTTGTTGTTCCAGAAATCACATCTGAAGCCGAGGAGCTCTGCTCTAAACCTCAGGAGGAACCCAAATCACCCAGGTTATCAACATCTGACCCAGAGCCCATGACCCCTAAAGCACTCACGGGTGACCAGGTACGATACGACGGTGGAGCTTTTACTGCTTTTACATGATGAAGCTAAATTGTGACCCCTCAGTGGTTCTATACTTCAGTCTCTCTCAGCTGACGTGTTCTGCCATTAATATTTAACTACTCGTCCAGACAATGAGAGGCTTATCTTTACAGAGCTCCAGACATAATTCGTATGTTTGATCCTGACCAATCATTGCATCACATATGAGGAATGTAGACTGATGGCATTGTTACAACTTTGTGCTGCTGTGTACGTGACTGGAAACAAACATCCTGTTCACAGGAAGTGATGGCTCCTATCAGCAGTGTTTAGATAAATCAGCTGTGTGAACTTTCACACCCAT